GCCCTGGAGGAGCAGCTGGGGAGGGGCCGCCTGTCCGTCCGTCCATCTGTGTCTGTCTGTCTGTCTGTGTCGGTTGGATGCTCAGACGCCCGTCCCGGTGGGGGAGGGGAAGGGGAAAGGACAGGGGGTGGGGCTGCAGACCCTGGAGTCTGGGCGGCGGGCGGGATGTGGTCTTCCCGCCTCCAAACTGGGAAACGGGGGACTGCATCCCTTCCGAGGGAGCCTATTGAGATGCACAGGCCTCATCCCCTACACCCCTTCCCCAAAGAAAATTCTTCTGGGCGCCAAGTATGTGTCAAGCCGGAGGCCTGCATTGTCTTCTTGTAGCTTGGGAGATAAGGGGGATAGTCCTCATTTTACAGAGAAAGAAACTGAGGCTCAGAGAGGGCAAGCGACTCACCCAAGGTCACACAGCTGAGATCCAAACGTGCCCCCGTCTGGGCCCTGGCTACCAGAGCTCCATCTTCCCTAAGTCCGGGTGTGCTTGGAGATCTCTGGAGGGGGCGAGGTGGGGGGAGGGGATCTTAGGGCCTCCCGAGGGAAGGATAACTGCCGAGAGGAAGCTCACGGTCCTTGAGGTCCCTCCCCATGGTGATCTCGAGCCTCCTGGACACTTTACTACCTGGTCCCAGCCGTGGTTAACCCAAGAGGTGGCAGGTTGAGGCAGCACGGGGGTCTGACTTCTGGGTTCCCTGGGTGCTCTAATGGGGCAAGATGAGGCAGAGGTCTCTGGACGGCTTAAGGAACACCATCGCGCTCGCCCTCTCCTGTCCTTTCTTGATTCTCGCGACTTCTTCCTGGGTTGCTCGCTCTCTCCCTTCCCACCGCATCTCCGACTTTCTGCATGTCTCTGTCTTTCTTAATCCTCTGTCTCTCTGTGCCTCTCTATCTCTGTCTCCCTGGTCTCTCTTTCTTGCACGTCTGCACCTCTCCCTGTCCCATGGCCCCCTCCCTGTCTCTCTCTCTCCCCTTCCCTCGAGCCCGCCAGGGCCCAGACCCTGCCTCCCCTTGCAGATCCCATCCCCAAGCCTGTGGGTGGTCAGAGCTTCCCGTTTGGGGAAACCTGAGCCGAGGTGGCGGTGGGGGTGGGGTGGGGAAGGGGCTCTCCCTGCTGCTGACCTCGACTGCCCCCTCCCCAGACGGGGACTGGGGAGGGCTCTGAAGTCAGACTCCCAGGCTGCGTGCCCAGCCCCTCCCCCGGCTGGGAGTGGGACCCTGCACATTCTTCTTGGAAACAGAAACAGCTGTGGGAGGCCCCACCCCCTCCCAAAGTTAGAGACGCACTGTGGGGGCCTTCACCAGCTCCCCCACCCCACTTGGAGCTGGCTGGGCTTGGGAAGGCACCTCCCACCTCTACAAGAAGGCATGGGGATGGCAAGCTGTGTCCTTCCTCACTGTCCCTCGACCTCTCCCTCCCTCTGCCTCAATCTCTTCCTCTCTTCCTCCCTCAGCTTCCCTATCTCTTCCCCTCAGCCCCCCGCCCCCCCATGAGCCGGTAGTAGACAGGCCTATTCCCCCCACAGTCTCCAGGCAAAGCTCTGTCCCAGCGTCAGGGAGGAGGCGGTGGCAGGCGGCAAGAGGGAGACAGCGGCACTGAGGGAGGAGCAGAGAAGCACTAAATATAAACCCCTCTGGTGTTTGTTTGGGGTTCCTGGGTCCTTCTGAAGGGGAGGTGGAGGCCTTACTGATACCTGAGCCTCTGTCTTACGATCCTTACGCCTCCCCACCTCACGCCTCCCACCCAGGAATACACTCCCTTTGAAGCGAGAAAGGCTGAAGCCAGACTTCATTCGTGCCTAATAAGAATGATAGGGATGCAGGTACAGACTAGGATGCTGCAGAGGAAAGATGCCAGGATCATGGAAAAGGGTGGGGGTCCTGACCTCTCCCACCACGGAAAAAGTCCCCTTCTAGCAAGAAGGACTTAAGTCAGACTCGCAGAAGGACTTCCGAACAGGGCTAAAGGGAATTGGACACAGATTAGAGGCATGTGAGGAGAGGAACAAAAGTCTTGAAAAGTTTGGGCAAAGGGGTCTCCTGGGGCCCTAACTACACTCGTGTTAAACCTGCCTGAGCTGGATGCCCTCAGGGCCCCTGGCAGAAGGACTTGCAAAAAAGGATGAAGGGCATTGTGGGCAAACAGGGAGCCAGATTCAGACCAAAGACCTTTTCCTCTTTTAAAGATTCATCCCTTTGCAGCTGGAAAGAATGAGGTCAGACTTACAAATAGCCTGGCGGGGGGCAGGGGAGTGATGGGGGGGGTCTGGGCACAAGGGCAGAGGAAGCCTCTCCTTTCTGTTCCCCTAACTCCTGCCTTCCCTGCAGCGGAAGACCTGAAATTAGATCTACAGAACTCACCAGCATTTATTTTGAATTACACAAGTAAAACATGATTTTATATTTTCCTTGTAAAAATTCAAAGTTTTCATGTAATAATAAAAAGCTAGCATTTATTAAATGCTTAAAAGGAACTGCTATTTTAACTCATCGAATCCTCACGATGACCCCATAAGAGAGGGAGTCGAATGATGCCCATGTTATAGATGAAAACCAAGGCCCAGAAAGGTTAAGTAACCTGCTCAAGGCCACACAGCTGGGAAGCGCCAGAGCTGAATGTGAAGCCTGGCAATTTGGCTCCAAGCCGTGCCTCCTTAACCACTTCATTTTACCATCCAGTCTCCTTATTCCTCACTTGACCCCCTAAATGCACCCTCTCCCCTGGGATCGCCACTATTGTCACCTTGGCGTGAGTCCCTCCGGACTGCTTGCAGTGCATCTACTGGCAGAAACTGTTTATGTACCAAGAAATGTAAAGTTTTGCTTTGCTTTTCACAAATTCCAGTTTCTTGAGTGAAGTCTCAGAGACCATACTAGCACCACACCATGGGAACCTGTTGGAAATGCCAGTTCCTGGGGCTCCAGCTCTGGAGGCACCCAGCAATTTGGGTTTTAACAGGCCCTCCAGGTTATTCTGACTCACCCTCTTACTACACATTTTTCCACTCAGTGCTCTATCTTGGTGATGATTCTATGGAGAAATCACCTCCTTCCATTTTAACAGCTGTATAGTATTCCGCTGTATACATTTATTCCTTCGTGGAACATTTCCTGGGCACCTCCTTGGTACCTTGCACTGTTCTAGGCACCGGGAGTGCGAGAAGGGTGCAGCAGTGAACAAAACAGATGGGAATCTGCCCAGGAGCTGACATTCTAGTGAGAGAGACTCTAATAGACAAAGGACGACCTGATACATAGCATTGAGCCGGGGGAGGTCATTACTGCGATGTAGGAAAACAGGCAGGACCCCAGGGGCGCAGAATGACAGGGGAGTTATTTTGGAAAGAGGGTGGGAGGAGGGATCCAATAAGCAAAGTTTCTGAATGAAGCAAGGGAGCGAGCCAGGAGGAGATGCAGGAGACACATCCCACCGAGGCCGGAGTGTGCCAGGCATGTTCGGGGTATAGTAAGGAGGCCAATGTGGTCAGCGCAGTGAGCAAGGGGCAATTAGTGGGGGACATGACATAGGGCATCTGGGTGGTTCATGGGTTTTTTTTTAGCTACTCCTGATGCTGCACAATTCGGCTGCTTTCCTGGGTTTTGCTCAAAGATAACGCCACCCGAGTACCTCTGCGCACCAGAGCAAGGAGCCCAGAATGGACTGATGTGTTGACTTTCTTACCATAAACAAGCCCAGATGGGGGCTTCTGTTCTGGGGGGAAGGGGGAGGACAGGGCCCAGGAGAGTAGTCACAGGAATGGGAAGCAGGGGGGGAGGTTCTGAGAGGGAGCAGGCCAGTCTTTCTGCCCTAAATAGGCAGGGCTAGGCGCCTGCCCTCCCAGCCCCTCCTCCTCGTCCCCTCCCTCCACCCGCCGCCCAGACAAGCCGCTTTTGTCTGAGGGTCAGCCGTCAGCCCAGGCTGCCCGCCACCTCTGGCCTCCCCAAAACCCGTGGGAGACTCTTCCTGGCTCTGGCCCTGTTTTCCAAAATGGGGTTAAGTCCCGGTGTCTTGGACACCCCATCTGAGTTGTTTCGGCCCCCACCCTCACCCCCAGTTACTGTCACGCTCCCTTCCAAGGGTTTTTCCCTTCATTTCTTCACCATTTCTTCGGAGATGGTCTTTTTCTGCAGTAAGAAGGATCCAGGGTAAATGCAACAGAAACTTCATATGAGAATGAGGAGCAGTGAGCGGACACGGGGGTGCTTCTGGGTGGGAAGGGAGCAGGAGGAAGCTGTGACCCCTGGGGGAAAGCAATCTGCTGGGGCCTATTGCTGCAGCACCATCGAGGCTAGACTCACAGAAGAACTTTCTAATCAGCATGGGGGGGGTCCTCTCTGAAGGGAGGAGTGGAGACTTACGAGTCACGTAGTCAGCCTATTTTATCCACATGAGGGGAAGGGTCCATCTCTACCCACAAGGACTCAGGAAGACTGGCAAACCAACTTTCTACAGGCGGGTAAGGGACAGTGGGGGAAGACGACAGCATCTGAGAAGGGAAAGTAGAGACCGGGAGAAGGCAGACCAGTGGCTAAAGGATCTCAGGTCCTGGACACCAACTTTTAGCAGAGAACTGCCCTTCAGGAGATCAGAAGTTAGACTAATAGGGGTCAAGGGGCCACGAGCACAGATGGAGGGAACATCCGACAGGGAGAGGGAAGGGATGGGGCCTCCCCACACCTAAAAGGGAATGAGGTAGCTGAAGTGTGCAGGACTGGAGTTTGCCAGAACTTTCTAATGGGATGAAGGGGCAGAAACCTTGAGGGGGATCCTGGGACTCAGGAGCTGCTTTTATCCTTTGAAGTCAGAGTCACTGTCAAAGTGAAACTCTGCCTGTGAGCTCCTGGAAGAGGGGACCAGTCCACAGAGGACCGGGGCCCACTGACCGTCCTGTTCTCATCATGCCTTCAGGAGGCCTTGCCGGGGCTCATCTGGGACCTGGGCCAGCAGCTGGGAGACCTGAGCCTGGAGTCCGGGGGCCTGGAACAGGAGAGCGGCCGCAGCTCGGGTGAGCACGGGTGAAGGGGGCAGGGGCGGCCTGGGACACCCAAATGTTTCCCACTGCCCCCCATCTGTCAGGCAGCCCTGTCTCCGCCTCTTGGTCTCGTAGTCTCCCCACCCCTGGTTTCCCCAGCCAGGCCGGTCCCATGATTGTCTCTCTCCTTTTCCCCCGGAATCCAGGCTTCTATGAAGACCCCAGCTCCACAGGAGGTCCCGACTCACCACCCTCGACCTTCTGTGGGGACAGTGGCTTCTCCGGATCTGGCTCCTATGGACGCCTGGGTCCCTCTGAACCCCGGGGCATCTATGCCAGCGAAAGGCCCAAGTCCCTAGGTAAGGTGGGTGGAGTCGGGGCTCTGAGGGCCAAGAAATGGACACTGAGAAGATGGTTTTGAGTACAAGCTTCTGAGTCTGACCAATCTGGATTCGAATTCTGGCTGTGACATTCCCTTTTCATGTAATTTTGAGCACGTCACTTCTTTCTGGACCTCTGTTTCTCCATCTGTTAAAATGGGATTATTAACAGCACCTACCTCATAGGGAAATTCTGAGTATACAGTGAGCCTCTAACTTAAGGCATTGGACTGGGCATATGGGAGCCACTCAGTAAACAGGAACTGCTGCTGTTCATTTATATAAGTTTCTGAGCCCCTACTACGTGCTAGTTTAGCACTATCCTAGGGAAGAGGGATACGGCAGTGAAAAAAATCCCCGTCCTCACAAAGCTGACATTCTAGTGGGTGAAACAGGGAATACACAAGATAAAATAAGCAGAATATATAGGGTATTAGATATTGACAATGGAAAGAAAATTAGGGAAGGGGGCTAGGGTGTGTCCCTTTGAGTCGGGGCGGGAATTGCCATTTTACAAAATAGGGTCAGGGAGGGCATCGCTGAGACTGTGACATTGTGAGTGACACCTTGAAGTGAGGGCGTGGGCCAAGCAGATATCCTGAGGGAAGGGTGTTTCGGGAACAGCAAGTGCAAAGGCCCTGGGGCCCGAGCATGGCTGGAGACCTACAAATACAGAGGAGTGCAGTTAGAGATGGAGGTCGGAGAGGTAGAGGGAGGACAGTCCACGCGGGGTCCTGTAGGCCACCGTGGAGAGTTTGTCATGAGCCTGGTGTGAGGGAAGGGGTGAGAGCAGGGTGTGATGGGAATGGGAGAACTGGGGTGCGGGAGCAGTAGGCAACCGGCCCCTCCGAGGCACATCGAGAAAGGGCCGGGAGCCTCTTCCCTCTTCCTTTTTGAAAACGTTGGCTTCCTTTCCCTAGGAGACGCCAGTCCCAGCGCTCCGGAGGCGGTGGGTGCTCGGGCAGCCGTGCCGCGGTCCTTCTCAGCGCCCTATCCGACGGCGGCGGGGTCCGTGGGCCCGGAAGC